TATATATATGTATATGTGTATATGTATATATATATATATATATATATGTATAACACTGCTGGCTTTTTGCTGCTAAATTGGAGATGAGAGTCTCAAGGACTTTGTTAATCAGGTTGGCTTCGAACCACGATCCTCAAAGCACAGTTCAGAGCTGAGATCCTCAAATCTCAGCCTCCAGCATAGCTAGCATTACAGCTGTGAGCCAATTCCTGCTGCATAGTCTTTTTTAAAAAGCACCTCTAATTGTAGTCATGAAAGAATTACTATACAAGTTTAAGAAATCACATCAAGGATTACTTCCACTCCATAGATCTCCATAGCCAAAGGCTGTCGTGTATCTGATAGACATGTGCAGTTGGATTTCTGACAGACTAAGCTTTCCAAATGGCCACCTGCCTTGAATACAGGGATGAGATTGCTTGTTGCTTCCGTATTAGGAACAGGGGAATGGAGAAGTTTGGGACTTGGGCAGTAAGAAGCTGAATCAGAGCAGCAAATCCACAGTGTGGATGCTACAGCCTACCCTGAGCTTCCTCTCCAGGAGCAGTTCCTAGAACTCACAATTAATAATCCTACTGACGCTGGGCCCTCAGGCAGCAAAGTTCTTTGTGGTTAAAGCTATATAGTTCACATTCTCACTGATTTCTATGCAGCTTGCTTGTATCTCCAGCATGGGAGCTAGGGAACCATTTTGCACCTGAGGTTAAAATCACCACTCAGTTGGATGCCTGTGCCTCACACATATAATCCTAGCTGCTGCCCAGGAGGCTGAGATGTGAGGATCAAGGTTCAAAGCCAGCCTGAGCAGAAAGTTCATGAGATTTTTATCTCCAGTGAACCAATAAAAACCCAGAAGCAGGGCTGTGGCTTAAGTGGTAGAGCACTAACCTTGAACACAAAAGCTCAGAGACAGCACCCCAATCCCGAGTTCAAGCACCGGGACTGGCACCAAAAAAAAAAAATCATCACCACTTGCTTGATCTTGTGCGCTCAGAGCTGGCAGAAGCATGTGTGTCAGATCACCACACAGATCTCTGCAAAATCCAGGCAACAAGTACGTCTACAGGGGAACCCTGTGTGAGGGGATGAGGAGGAATTTACTGCTGGCTCCTCCAAGCATGCCAAGGGTGGAATTCACTCAGCATCCCAGCAAGAGAGACACATGAGGGCCAGAGCCTGGCTCGAGTGCTGCAAAAGCTTTCAGGACTGAGGTGTCATTCCTGATTGAGAATCATTTCTTCCTGTCTGTACTGTCTGGGGGCTTGAGCTGGAAGAGCGCAGATCCCTGAGCAAGACTGGTGTGTGTCTCCCCAACTCGAAAGGGAGGCTCTGCAGGGAGGTGATGGATGGCAGGCGCCTTCTTGCTAACAGATGGCCACTGTTCGCCACTTAGTGTGCTTTTAACCTCACGGTGTTCTCAGAGTGGGTCAGAGATAGACGTGTGGGAGTCAGGCGCTCTCTCTCTCTCTCTCTCTCTCTCTCTCTCTCTCTCTCTCTCTCTCTCTCTCTCTCCTCCCCCCCTCTCTCTCTCACACACACACACAGGACATGATCCTTCACAGAGTCACAGAGTCCAATTTATTTTTACGCTTGGATTTGTGTGCTGGATGAGGTTAAGCCATCTGTCACCTTAACGACTGGTGAATGAAGGGCTAAAGTCTCAAAGCCCTGGGATTCGTTACTTGTAAAGATTGTATAGATCTAGATTCCTAGATCACAGGGCAGATGGGGCATCTGTGTGTGTGTGTGTGTGTGTGTGTGTGTGTTTTGCTGGTCTTGCAGCTTGAACTCCAGACCTAGCCACTGCCTCAATCTTTATTGTTCAAGACTGTGCTCTACCATTTGTGCCACAGGTCTACTTCCGATTTTTTGCTAGTTAATTGGAGATAAGAATCTCACAGACTTTCCTGCCCAGACTGGCTTCAAACCACGATCCTCAGATCTCAGCCTTCTCCTGAGTAGCTAGGATGACAGACGTGAGCCACTGGAGCCAGCAGTCCGTCTATTTTGTAATGGACAGAATTCTGCTCAGGAAAAGAGAAATGTCTTCATTGCTTCCATGTAAGAAGGTGCCAGGGCTCCAGACCCAGGTGAGTGTCCTATCTCCAAACTCGCCTCCTTCCTCATCTGTCCATTCTATTTCAAAACACTGTCATTAACCATAAATATGCTTAATAAACTTCCCCTGCAGTGGACTGTTTCTATTAGAAGGAATTCTTCTTGCCACAACATAAATTTCCTGGGAAAGATATGGTCAGGTCACACAATGTAACCTATTATGAGAAGCAGAGTAATAAAAGAGCCAGATAATTTATGTGTCTCTCTGGGTTCCTGAGACTTATCTCAAAGAAAAAGGAGCCAAAATGTGAAGACAAATAGAGAAGTAATAGGTGCGGCTGGAAATACTGTGTGCAATTTGTCCAGAACCCTCCTCCCCCCCTTTTTTTAATGCAAGGCACTTATAAGATTCAACTTAAAACATTAACACTGCTGCTGATGAGCAGGGTTATGCTGGGAGAGAGCCAGCCATTCTGTGTCCTTTCAGGAGACCAAGGGAATGGGAATAAATTACCCAGAAATGACTTCACAGCCTAATGAGGGCAGAACAGGAGCCTGAGAAGAGATCCCTGATGAAGGTGAATTCTGCAACACTCCCTCAGTGTTTGCTGTCCTGTGCCCCCTACAGCGCCAATGGCTCAAAGTAACAGCCCTGGCCTGGGCAGCCAGCATAGGTGATCAGCTAACTCTCACCCCAATGGCAGACAAGTCACACACCCTCCTCACACCATACCCCCCGCAGACACTGCACTGAGACAGAAGTTGAAGGAACATGACCATCACTGTCTAACTATTCCTCAGTCCCTCCAGCAAGCTGGTCTTGCCAGCCAGACTCAACTTGGCCCTGGCAGTCATAATAATTCCTCATCTCTGGGTCCCACCTGCCACAGCTGCCATCTGCATGCAATTCTTCTTGCGGAAAAGGTGCTGACTTGTAAGAAGGTCTTATTTGCAGTAGACAGCCTCTGAAATTGTCCATGGGGAGCCAGGAGCCATACATGGCAGATCAGGGGTATGGCTCTTCCCAGTGCCAACATGTTCCACTTACCTGTTCTTCTGGCCCAGGGGTGTGGCATTAGGGCTCATACATAGGAAGAGGTTGGGGGACACACAGATGTACTCTGCTCAGAGGCCCACAGACACCCTGCCATCTCCTTTCTGCCTTTCTGAAGTGGGTAGCCACTATATCCTGAGATCTGGGCTCTAGCCTCCAGCTAGGGTCTCTTTCCAAGTTTCACCTTCCTTTGGGACTTTGCTGCATCCCCAGAAAAAAGTGATTCTTTTCACTCCAGTGTTGTTTCTTCTTTGGGAAGAATTACAGCTGGGTACTGGTGGCTCATGCCTGTAATCCTAGATACTCAGGAGGCTGAAATTTGAAGATCACCCCCCTCCCATCCATATCTAGCCATGAGACTCTTAATTAACCACCAGAAAACCTGAAGTGGAGCTGTGGCTCAAAGTGGTAGAGGGCTAGCCTTGAGGAAAAAAAAAAAAAAAACAGCAAAACAGCTCAGGGATGGTGCCCAGGCCCTGAAATCAAATTCCACAATTGACAAAAAAGAAAAGAAAAAAGAAAAAGAATTACATTAAGTATTCATGGTCTAAATTAATGCAACATCTGTCTTCAAATCAGACTTTTCACTCCTTGACTAAAGCCTGGTCATTCTATTATCCAAATTTCTCTTCTTTTTAAAAATTATTATCTTTAAGTAGTTGTACAAAGGGGTTTTCATTCAACTGTTATTTTATATGTACAATGCGTCTTTTTTGAGTTGTAGAGGGAGTTGCCATTGGACAAAGCAGCTTATGAGTGCAATGCATCTTGGTCCATGTCACCCTTCCATCATTCTCTCCCATCTTTCCCAACCCCACCCAGCCTTCCATGTTCCCTGGTTCCATTTTCATATGTACATTGACTATTATGACTGCATTCACACATCCTTCCTCTCTCCATTCATCTACTCCCCTCCCCCAAATGGTTCTTTTTTTCTTCATTTACATTTATTTAAACACAGTTCTCAAAACATTTGAGTGAAATTGGGTCTCTTTTGGTAAGCAAAGGACCTGAAAATAATATTTAAAAAATGAACAGGCAATCAATCATCAGTTCATCCATGACACAGGTGTAATGTTCCCTTATCTAATACCATACTTTGAAGCACCCAGTTTTAGTTTTTTCATAGTCTAATGCTAGAAGAACAAGAGTACATTTCTGGTGGAATGTAATAACACTCACTGACAACTAGTTGAAATACCATTATCCTATCCCCTTGTAACAAGCTTTAACAATAGCCTTTAAAAGGCATCCATCTGTAACTCTTCTCTTATTCCCTGCTATACATGTATATATAATGCAGATTATGTAAAGGTTGACAAATCCACATTTATATAAGCATTAAGCATTTGCTGTAAATTTTGCATTGTAATTTTTACCTTCTAATACTAGCAGTACAGAGTTACAGAGCGTTTTTTGTTTAACAGTTGCAGGTATATTAAATATGGTATGTTTCATGGACTGGAGGAAAACAGGTATTTTGCCTAATTTACTACTGACAACTTATTCTGTTTTTTTCTAAGCATTGATATATTAGAAAGAAAAGTAAAAATCAAACTGTTTATTGTTGCTTTTTGCCATTTGGTAACATTTTACACACAGGCTTCGATCTTCAGAATACCCTGGATTCAGTAGAAAAACTTTTTAAATGAAGTTTTGTACAATAGAAACTTCTTAGCAGTCAAAATTTAGACTGTAAAAAAAATACATGCAAAACATGAAAACACTTAACTTTGAACTTGAACAAAGCACCAAACTACACAAATGCAGAATGAAAACAGCATTTCAACTCCACCAAAAGTAGTCATCATAAAAGGTGTAAAAGTCACCTAACTCCACTAGGCACTGTTCACTTTTTAAACAAATAAAAAATACTGTCAACAAACAATATTCCAGCTCTATGGCAGGTTTCAGAAACTTTCCAACTTCATGCTCTAATAACGACGTGGCCAATAAGATCTAGATTGAGAACGTGACCTGTATCCTCCTCGACTGTAGTAAGGAGAAGGTGACCTTCTTCTGTAAATTTGATCCCGGTCTTGTGCAGCTCTCCATCCACCTCCTCCTCCACCTCCTCTCCTGTATGACCTGCTGTAGTAATCCCGATCATCATATCCTCCATCATAGCCTCTGTCATAATAATCACGGCGATGTGAGCTGCCATAGGTAGGTCTTCCCATGTAAATTCCTGGTGTTGGGGTATGTGGTCTGTTTGTTATAGAGAAATCAACGCTTATCCTACGTCCATCAAGTTCCATTCCACTGGCACGTTCTTTAGCCTCCTTGGCTACATTTTCGAAATACACAAAGGCAAATCCTCTGGAACGCCTGGACTGCTGGTCATACACAATGGACACATGGGCAATGGGGCCATATTTAGAGAATACTTCTCGGAGGTCTCTTTCGGTGGTGTACAACCTCAAACCAAACACGCCAAGACAACAGTTGGGATCAGGATTTGCCCGATTCCCAACATGAGTAGCCATAGGAGAATGGCTGTGGCTGACTGTAAGACCTGCTACGGGAACGTCTAGGGGAGCGGGATCGAGACCGGGACCTTGTACAATGCCTCCGAGAACTTCTTCTGGATCTAGACCTAGATTCAGATCTGGACCTTGACTTTGATCTTGAGCGCCTGGAGTCTTCCTTGGAGCGAGACCTTGCAGGGGCATGCCTTGCAGACTTCCCCGATCCATGTGCACGTCCACTTCTGGAAGCAGAATGGTATTCCCGCTGGCCGTAGTTCTGCTCGCTGCGGTCGCTCATGACTCCTGCCCGATGTCGCCGCTCGTCCGGCTGCCACTGCACCTGCCAACCCTCTGGCACTTCGTTACAGGAGGCTCCGCCGCGGCCGGGCTGGTGCACCGGATGCTGAGCCGCAGAGACGACGCGCTCAGTGCCACCTCCACACGGGCTCTAACCCCAAATGTTTCTTGAGTCCTTGTTTCTTCTTTTTCTCTGTTTCTCTTATCATTTCTTTCTGCCATCCTCCTCATAACTGCCTTCTGCTCCTAGTCTGGCCTCTCCCCAGCCCAGTCATCCCTTCCATCTACGTAGACTGGCCATCTACTAGAGAGCTGCCAAAGGAAAGATGGTCAGGAAAAACATTCACCTAAATCTGACCTCCTGTGATCCCTGTCCATCCTCCTCTATCCTTCCAAATCCTGGGAATCTCTGCTTTTCTCTGTGGTCAGCCAACCTTACTGGTTGAATATACTGTTCTAGAATCTTGTATTTTCAAAAACTAGTTTTGATTTGGTTTATCTCTTATTTGCAGATGCTCACTAACTTTTCCTTTTTCATAATTTTATTTTTACTTAAATTCAACTTGCTCAGTTTAACTCTGTGTGTGTGTGTGTATGTGTGTGTGTGTGGCTATCTGTATCTATGAATATATGCATGAGTGTCAGTACTGAGACTTGAACTCAGGATAAGGGTACGTCAGCTTTTTCACTCAAGGCTGGCACTCAACCACTTGAACTCAAGAGAGTAAGGCAAACTAAGAGCTGATGGCTCATGCTTATAATCCTAGACACTCAAGGGCTGAGTGCTGAGAATTCCAGTTTAAAGTCAGGCAGACTTACTTCCAATTAACTACCAAAGATCCAGAAGGGGAGCTATAGCTCAAGTGGTAGAATGCCAGCCTTGAGTGGAAAAAGCCAAGGGAGAATGCTCAGGCCCTGAGTTCAAGCCCTAGGACTGGTACCAGAAAGAGAAAGATTGAGAGGGGGAAAGAGAGATTGAGGGAGAAGATCACGTATTTAAGGACAACTTAGCCTACAGAGCAAGATTTAGTCTCAAAAAATAAAAAAAGAAAGACTTCTAAATGTGAATGGACTTAGTGCCACTGAACTGTGTAGTTAAAAATAATTAAGATGCCAGTGAGGAGCCTGGTAGCATATACCTTCAATTCCAATATTTGGAAGGCTGACGGAAGACAACCTCAAGTTCAAAGCCAACCTGGATTATCATATGACCCTGCCTCAAAAAAAAAAGGATTTTAAGTTTAAAATATTATGAATGATCCACTTCATGTTCTATCACAATTAAAAAAATACTTGAAATAAATTGAAACCATATCATTTGAGCAGCACCTGTCGGGATGAGGCATGTGGCTTGCTCTGTGTGCTGGAGCAGCAGTGACTCTCACTCAGAGTCCTGCTTCTTACTCAAAGGAAAATGGCAGCTGTCCTCAGGCCTTTCCAGACAGGAAAAGCTGGTCATGGAGCCATGTCCTTGGTCCCAGAGGAAGGAAAAGTACACAGCTCTTATTCAAAGATGAGTCAGCTTTTTCCTGGAAATATCTAAAATTGCTAGACATGAATTCATTTATTCAAAAAAAAATTCATCACCAAGCACAATGACTCATGTCTATAATCCTAGTTACTCAAAAGGCTAAGATCTGAGGGATAGTGGTTCAAACCAGCCTGAGCAGAGAAATTGGAGCGACTCTTTATCTCTAGTCAACCAGCAAAAAGCCACAGGTGGAGGTGTGGCTCAAAGGGTAGAGCAGTGCAGGTTGACTGACTGTACCAGGCTGCCCATCACCACCTCCTTCTAGTCTTGTCTTCCAAGTTTCCTGCTGGATGCTCAGAGCTCCCCATGGACCCAGCCCTCCCCACTCAGGACTCACCACCTACACGCTTCTCCTGGAGGGTGCCTTAGCAATGGAATGTTCTGGAGCCTTCCATCCTCAGGGCTGAGCGAGAGGGGTCCATACTTACACTCCTGGGGCTTGCTGGGGAGCCAGTCCTGGCTCTCCACCAGGCCACTCAATGAGAGTCACACAGTTTCCACAGTTCTCCCACCTCATGCTTACGAAATGAAAATGACTTCTGGAATTAATTTTAACTTTTTTTTTCTTTATTCCTGGAAGCTTTAGCCTTGTGAATCTTAGCTTCATTTGTCATTTTGTCAAATTTGCTTCCACACAAGACTATTCTCTCCACATGGGACCCATTTGCAAAGGTACTGAGCTGTTAGGTAAATGTCTCCCATGGGGTCATCCCACCCACTGATTGAAAGTATTCAATGTGAACCTAGCACTGGTGCAGGTTTAATCCAAGCTATTCAGGAGGCCAGGATCTGAGGATTGTGCTTAGAAACCAGCCTCTGGTTAGGAAACTCTGTGAGACTCTAATCTCTAATGAACCACTAGAAAACAAGGAGAGCTGTGGCTTAAGTAGTAGAGCACCATCCTTGAGTAAAAAAGCTAAGAGACAGTGCCCAGGCTCTGAGTTCAAACTCCAGTAGCAGCGTGTGCACGTGTGCACACGTGCACATGCACACACACATGCACACACACACGTCGAAGATGACATGCTTAGTGACGGAACTCTGTGGTCATCCACTATAGACAACTAGACTGACTTGACAAAGAGCCCATGTTTCACATTTTTAGATGCAATTGTCTAACTGTTCAACCAAAAAATCCAGCAGCCCATGGGTAATTCTAAACAGATTCAAAGGAGCTGCAGCCACAAGTTCATGCCCAGATTTTATCTCCAATTCTCATCACCAGTGCCAGAGGTCCTGGTGTCTCCTCCTAAGGCTTCCTACCTCTTCCAAGGATGGCCCCTAGCAGCCTCCAATCCATCCATCCCAGGCCTGGCACTGTCTCTTCTCTTTTTTTAATGCCATCCTAGGGGCTTGAACTCAGGGCCTGGACACTGTCCCTGAGCTGCTTTGCTCAACACTGGTGCTCTACCCCATGAGCTACAGCTCCACTTCCAGCTTTTTGCTGGTTAATTGGAGATAAGAATCTCATGAACTTTCCTGCCTGGGCTGACTTTAAACCAGGATCCTTCAATCTCAGCCTCCTGAGTAGCTAGGATTACAAGCATGAACCACTGGCGCCAGCTACTGTCTTGTGTGTTGCACATGCTATTGTACACACCTTCCTAAAGCAAGTTTGTTATAAAAACTTGCTGATTTTGACTTGCTGCAAAAGATGTACAATTTCTTACTAGTTTTCCTTGGGAGACTCTTGAGGAATCTCTCACCCACCCACCTCCCTCTCTTTCTATCTCTTCCTTCCCTCCTTCCTTCCCTCCCTCCTCTCCTCTTCTCTCTTCTCTTTCTATTCTTTCTCTTTCCCTTCTCTCTTCCTTTTTTCCACTCTCTCTGTTTCTCCCCCCCACCCCCACAAGGGCTTAAATTTCCTCACTAACTAAGGTTTATGGATGCACATGTGCACGTGTGCCCAGGCATGCGCGCGCACACACACACACACACACACACCTTCCATAGCTAAGTGTTTGAACACTGCAACCTGGCAGCTCTGGCAGCTCCCTGCCTGCAGCTATAACCTGAAGGACAGCTGCCACCAAGCCCAGCCTGTAGCCCAGCCTCCTGCCCCAGCAAACCTTCCCTGACTTTCCTGAAATAGCATGATTCCGCGGGCTGGCTTCCTCCCAAGCTTCCCCTGGAATAACCCGGCACGGATACTCTCCACTTCCTCCCCCAGCCCGCTATATTTGTGACCACCCAATGAGTCCATATTTGGAGAACAAAAATCTCACTGCTGGCTGGGATGAAATCATGCGATAGTAAATGACTAGTGGAAGTTTTAAATTCAAAAGTGTTCACAAGGAGAACACATCCATGTGTGATAGGTGTGTGCACATAGAGTGTGAAGTGAAGTCCTCTGAAAGAAGGCAATCTGGAACAGGACAAGGAGACTCGGGTGGCTGAAGGCATCTGGCAGCTGACAAGATCCAGCCCTGTTCTTTTTGTCCAACTCTCCACCATCTGTATGAGTACAGCCCGGGAACTCAGCTACTAAAAACACAATGGGCCAAGCACGGTGGCTCATACCTGTAATTCTAGCTACTCAAGAAGCTGAGATCTGAGGATCATGGCTCAAAGCCAGCCTGGGCAGGAAAGCCCATGAGACTTTTCCTCCATCCAGCAAAAAGCCATAAGCGGAAATGGCTTAAGTGGTAGAGCACTAGCCTTAAGAGAGAGACAAAAAAAAGCTCAGGAACAGCACCCAGGCCCTGAATTCAAGCCCCAAGACCACCACAACAACAAAAAACCATGGCAAAGTTACTGCTTAGAGTGCTCCATTGGCATTGCTGAGAATGGACCACAGGCAGCATCATGGAAGGAACACATACGTTCCTCCATGATCAAAAAGAACCTATCAGAAAGAATCAGCTGGGCACCCGTGCTTGTGCCTATGATCTTAGCTACTCAGAATGCTGAGATCTGAAGACTGTGGTTCAGGTTCAAAGCCCAGGCAGAAAAACCCATGAGACTCTTATCCCCAAGTAACCAGCAAAAGCCAGAAGTGGAGCTATGGCTCAAGTGGTAGAGTACCACCTGTGAGTGGGAAAAGCCAAGCAAGAGCGCAAGGCCCTGAGCTCAAAATAAGAGTCTATAGCAATCACTTTATTAATAGGCCTGATAAATTTAGTTTCACTTAGATTTGTTTTGTGGGGTTTTGTATATGTGTATATGTGTATATGTGTATATCTGTGTCTGTGTGTCTGTGTGGCTATGTGTCTGTGTGCCAGTCCTGGCACTGTCCCTGAGCTTTTGTGCTCACGTCTAGTGCTCTACCACCTGAGCCACAGCTCCACTTCTGGCTAGTAGTACCCTATATGTTTTATTACTGTAATCTCATGACTTTTCTGATTTCAAATACTTTCCTCTGTGTGTGTGTGTGTGTGCGCGCGCGCGTGTGTGTGTACGCATTCCTGTGCATACACACAAATGCGCTAGTCCTGAGGCTTCAACTCAAGGCCTGAGTGCTGTACCTGAGC